TGCTGTGTGAAGTCCGCAGGCCCCTGCCCAGATCATGGGAGTGGAGGGGAGAGGCCGCTCTGCACACGAGGCCAATGGCCCCCAGGCCAGAGGATCAGGAGACAGTGAAGGAGGCTCTGCCTGCCTCTACGGAGGAGCCAAGCCCCCGGGCCCCAGGAGATTCCACAGTCATGGCTCCATGTTCCCTGCAGCTCAGCACAGCCACACATTTAAATTTTCAAGTCAAGCCAGAAAGTCAGATTTAAATCTGAAATCCAATTCTTAAAAGTTGGCACAACCTCAAAAAAGAAAAAAGCAATACTGTGAAGGCCATCCAAAGACATGGAGAGCGGCAGGGCTGGAGGCTGCTCCCTCCTGAGTGGAGACAGACATCTTAGTTCTTGCCAGAAAGATGACAACTCTCTCCCAAGATGGGCAATTCCTCCTTCAAAGATGAAGAACTGTTCCCCCAGCCTTCTCGCCATTTCCCCCCGAGGGAAGATGTGCTGGCGTTTGAACTTCATTCCTTGCACTTGCTAGATGGGCACTCTACCATGAGCCATACTTCCAGCCCTTTCTCTTTGGTTATTTTTGACCGGAGTCTCGCTTTTTGCTTATGTCAGCTTGGATCATGTGCTCCTTTTTACACTTCCCCTATGGCTGGGGTGCCGGGTGCACACCACCACACCCAGCTTCTCATTGGTTGAGATGGGTCACACAAACTTTTTACCCAGGCTGGCCTCAAATGACAATCCTCATCTCAGCTTCCCAAAGAGCTAGGATTAGAGGCTTGAGGCCGAGTTGCTTGGCTTCTGGAGTTGTGAGCACAGCCGTGCTCAGGTGTGGCTGGGGTTGTGAGCACAGCCGTGCTCAGGTGTGGCTGGGGTTGTGAGCACAGCCGTGCTCAGGTGTGGCTGGGGTTGTGAGCACAGCCGTGCTCAGGTGTGGCTGGGGTTGTGAGCACAGCCGTGCTCAGGTGTGGCTGGGGTTGTGAGCACAGCCGTGTTCAGGTGTGGCTGGGGTTGTGAGCACAGCCGTGTTCAGGTGTGGCTGGGGTTGTGAGCCAGCCGTGCTCAGGTGTGGCTGGGGTTGTGAGCACAGCCGTGCTCAGGTGTGGCTGGGTTGTGAGCACAGCCGTGCTCAGGTGTGGCTGGGGTTGTGAGCACAGCCGTGCTCAGGTGTAGCTGGGGTTGTGAGCACAGCCGTGCTCAGGTGTGGCCTGGGTGGCCTCAGATATTCTGTGCAGTGGGCAGGGGTGAGCTTGAGGCCCCTTTACCACCAGAGTCAACCCTGACAGAGGAGCCAGGAGGCCACAAGAAAGGGTAGGATGTGGGGCTGGGAAGGTGGCTCAGGGGTAGAGTGCTTGCCTTGCATGCATGAGGCCCTGGGTTCAATTCCTCAGCACCACATAAGCAGAAAAAGCCAGAAGTAGCACCGTGACTCAAGTGGTAGAGTGCTAGCCTTGAGCTGAAGAGCTGAGGGACAGCGGCCAGGCCCACAACTGACAAAAAAAAAGGGGCGGGCAGGATGAATACTCAAAGGTATTTAATTTTTAAGACTGCCCTTTTGACTCATAGGTTATTTAGAAACATGTTGCTCAATTCCCAAATATTTGGGGATTTTCCAGATGTCTTTCTGATGTCGATTTTTGCTTTAGTTCTGATATGGCTTAAGAACACACTTGTAAGATTTCTATTCTTGTTTTTATGGCCCAGAATATGATCTGTAGCTTAGTGTGATGTGCATTTGGCTGCTGTGGCGGAGGACACTGTGGAATATCTCTTAGGTCAAGCTGGTAGATAAAGCTGCTAGGTCATCAATATCCTCATCGATTTTCTGTCTCTTTGTTTTATCAATTACTGAGTGTGCAGTGTGGATTTGTCAATTTCCCTCCTCAGGTTTATCAGCTCTCCCTGCACGTGGTGTGGAGTTTTGTTGGTGGGTACATAGATATTTAGGATCACTACGTCTGCTTGGAGGAGGGAACCTTTTATCATTAGGTAATGGCCCCATTTTACCCCTGAACACTTTTCCTGCTCTCATCTACTTTGCCAAAATCAATGCATTTACTCCCCTTGAGCTACGGCTTGCATTTTCCTGATATAGCACCTTCCCTGTTGCTCTTCACAGACCCATGTTTTATGTTAACTTAGCATGGGTTTCTTAGTCAGCATGCACTTACTTCTCGCTGATGGGTTTGGCATGTAAAGTGGCACTTAACAAGACGATTGGTAGAGTGAGCTTGACTGCTCTCATCTACACGTGGTCTTGCATTTTTCCACCTCTGGCTTGGATCTCAGCATGGGAACTTTCCTCCAGGCTCTCAGCACCCAGCCTTCCTTTCTCTAACCGCTGAGGTTATCTGGGATCCCTCTGAATGACCTTTTCCTCTCTGTCTCTGTGACTCTGACTTCTCACATTACTATTTTGCTCTTTCTTGTCATTTCCTTCTGCTGAAATTGCCCACCAAATAGGGCATTGATTATCTTTTCCATTAGAACCTTTATCACATTATTTCTGAAATTTTAATTTCCTGCCTGTAGGCATAATGCTATATCTAAGTCCGGTCTTTACTCTGCTTGGGCACGTTTGTCTTGTTTATCACATGACTTGTTGGGAGCAGGACTTCTGTGACAGGAAGGGGGCAGGGGCTGAGTGGGGGCCAGGCCGCCATGTTGAGACGGGCAGATCTCTGTCTGCCCCCCTGGGGGCTCCGCACTACTCTCTGGAGCTGAGGGGTGAGGCCATGGTTGCCATGGCTACCCTGTCCCATCCAGATGTCCGTTCCTCCAGTGGCAGTGCCCCTGGCCCCTGAGCTGCTGCGTGGACTGTCACCAGCACAGAGGCTTCTTGCCACCGCGCTGGTGTAGATGAGAACATTCTGATTTCTCCACAAGACCTTGCTTTGGGGTGTGGCCAACCTGTGTCCCTGTCACCTCCCCTCCTCACGAGGATCCATCCAGTGGGCCTGTGCTCCTTTTCCCCTCTCCAGCCTGGTGAGGGCGGCTGTGGCCCCTCCCTCCCCAGGACCCTCAGATTCTCCCTGGCCATCCCCGGGCACCTGCTGTTTCCTGGAAGCGGCGGCATCTCGAAGGAACCGGCTGTGGAGCTCCATACCTGCAGCTCCCAGTGCTTTGTGTCAGACCAGCTTAACCTTTTAGCCATTCGACAGCACATTTCCTCATTAGCTAAATACTCACTCTGTTTTCCTATAGGCTTGTAGAGTCGGAGTGAATTTTCCCTGACACAATATTCACACAGAGGCCAGAGAAGACACTGAGGATGGTGCACCAAGGCCCTGAGATTCAAGTCCCCAAACCAAGTTGCATGTGTTGGAGCATTCTGGAGTACAGTCTGGAACATTCTGGGTTCCTGCTGCCACCTGAGGATGCGCCTGAGCCTGTCACCCCCAACATGTGAGGGCAGGGCGGGCAGTGGGTGCAGGCACGGCCCTGTCCCCACAGCGCAGAACCAGCTCTGAAGGGCAGACGCCAGGGCCTGCCTCGCGGGGAAGAGCCCAGGCAGACGGGGGAGGGAGACGCCAGGAGCAAGTCCAACTTCAGTAATCCTCACTCATGGCTCCCTTCAGTTCTGACTTCTTGGCTGTTTGTATAAACCTGGGTTCGTCTGGTTCTTGTGTCTGTCAGGCAGATGCTGGTCTGGTGTGAGGGCATTGTAAGCATCGGTTTTTAAAAATGACATTTACATTTTCATCCCCAGTCCACTTAATTCATTACAGCGATGATGGAAGGAATTGAGCTCTCTGAGCGCTGGTCACTTCTCTCTTGGGAGAGTCAAGAAGCGATGCCTAAGGACCGTGCGCCCGGATGGGACCGTGTGCTTCCTGCTGAGAGGCCACAGCCCCAAGGCCAGTGCACACAGCAGTGAGCTGCTGCGTGCTGCTGCACGGGCATCTGGCTGCGGATTGTCAGGCTCATTTTGCAGAATTTAAATAAAAAATATTTAAAGTGCCAGCAAATTTCAAATTTCCCAGGCACCGACATAAAGTTGCTTTAGTTTCTCTCTATCTCTTTTGATCTGAAAGCAAAAGCAATAAACAAGCCAGCAGCAAATCGATAATTATTCTGTAACGAATTCCAAGCACTGTAAATTAACCTGTCAAATGGCTCTGGCCCTGTGGGGTGTTCTCAGCCCTGAGAACACTGAGGGGAGGGTGCGTGTACACCCCACATGCCAGCATCGACACAATCAAGGTCTGGGGAATGGGAAGGGGAGGCTCAGAGGGCCAAGAGGACATGATGAGGAGGGGGGATTACTGGCCCCCTCCCCCGCCCTGGCCCTGCAGCGTGGGATTCCTCTTCCCTGGGACAGTGCACTAGAGGAGGTGTGATTGGGAAGGAGGGTGGGCCTCATGGAGTCTGTCCAGGGAACGGGCCTGTGGCTGCTACCACAACTGGCCACTCTGGAGCCTCCTCTGCTATTAGGTTAACAAGCTGAGCGCGTCTGTGTGTGGCACACAGCTCCTCTCGCTCTGCTGCGGGCGGGTGCGCAGCTCTCCTGACTGTGGGTGCCTGCCAGCCAGGCTTCTCCAGAGGGGTGGCACCAAGCACCCCCTCAGGCCTGGCCCTTTCCCAGCGCTCATCCTGGGGCCCAGGCCACGGCAGCATGGCTCTGTGTGAGGCTGGTGCCCGAGCGTGGGGAAGGCTGGACGTCCGCAGGGCAGTCTGTGGAGGATGAGAACAGCTAGTGCTCTGTTCTCACCCGGAGGCTGGGAACTTCTTCCACAGCAGTCGGCACAGGGGTGATGCCAGGCGGTACCAGTGGGTGCGGTGGCCTTCCGCTCCCACCCCCTGCACAGGCCAGGCAGGTGCTAGCCTGGGAGAAGGGGGTATGCCCATTTCTTCTGGACCTGGTTGGAAACTGGAGGCTCCCTCCAGGCTGCAGGTCTTCGACACCAACTGGGCTCCTTCCCCCTCAAGCGGGCCCTGAGGGTAGCTTTTTCTGAGGCCAAGTCCTTCTCTTTGGCCAAAGCTTGGGATGAGCCTGGAGTGTGGCGGCCTGCATGCCTTCCATAGCTGGGTCTCTATCCCCATCCCTGAGCAGACCCTCAAGCCCAGCACTCAACGTGACTTTGACTGGGCTCTGGGAGCCGCATCTCCCACACTGGCTGGGCTGGTGGGAGCTCCCGGCCAGCAGTGCGACTAGCCAAGGATGAGAATGAGTCAAGCTGGGACTCAGAGCCCGACCAGGAAATGCTGGTCTCCCTGATCTCCAGGAAGAGGTGGCACTGTTCTCGCCGGCTCTGAGCCATGATCTGGGGACCCGCGTGGCATTGCGGGAAGAGCTGCGGTATAAAGGAAGCCAGTGCAGAGAAGGCGGTCTGTGTGCTGGTGACGACACTTGAGCCCCTAGATCAAAGCAAGTCTCCAGGATATCTCAGTGGCTCTTCTGGCTTAGGCTGGTTCGATTTGAGTTTACTGTTGCTCACCACAGAAAGGCTTCGCGCAGGTGCCTGGTCTGACTCTCGCGGGCCCAGACCCTGTGAGCTGGCCGAGGCCCTCCCCATGGCAGGCCTCTCTGCATATCACGCTCCACATCCTCCTCAGTGGGGTCACCACAACACTGGAGATGCACAGCAGGGGAGCCGGGCAGTCCTGCGCTCTGGAGCTGGAGGCCGAGGCAGCTCCTTACCTGTGTCAGTGCCTTGGTATCCTCAGGCCAGTGTGTTTACTAGGTCATCTTCACTCTTGAGGCCAGGCTGAGGGTTAAATGAGAGGGTGCAAGGCAGAGAGAGAGGCCTGGGCGCAGGGAACTTCCTTCCAGGCCCAGCAATAACATATGCATCGAAGGAGTCTGCATCCTCCCACCGAGGTCAAGAGTCCCGAGACATTCTTCACCCGAGTCATCCTGAGGTGTGCACGCCTGTACTTGATCGCCGCTTGAGTGCTGGTGGTTGGCACGTCCATCCTGCGCCCACTGGCAGAGCTCCGGGCAGGCCCCACATCACACCACCGGCCTGTGGTAAATGAGCTGTAACAGCACACAATTATCCTCAAAGGTGATGTGTGTCCTTTTCTTTCTAAATACATTTGTGCATTATGAGCCTATAATTAAAACTGAGGTGGCATCACTCGGCACAAAATCATGCATGCAGAATGAGGGCTGCAGCCAGGTTGAGGGGCTGGGTGTCCCGGCCTTGAGGTAACTGAGCACTGCCCAACGCACGTGCTGTGTTCTCCCCAATGGAAGTGGACTTGAAAGTCTTCTGAAGACCTCAATGAATGTTAATTCCCCACCCCGTCTCCATTTCCTGTGCTCCTTGAAGGCTTTATGAGCAGGTGACATGCTGGGAGGGAAACTGCAGCAGTGGGACGGTCCAGCCCTTCCCCGTGGGCAGCAGTGGGACGTCCCCTCCCCTGTGGGCAGCAGCAGTGGGACGTCCCCTCCCCCAGTGGGCAGCAGTGGGACGCCCCCTCCCCCAGTGGGCAGCAGTGGGACGCCCCCTCCCCCAGTGGGCAGCAGTGGGACGCCCCCTGTGGGCAGCAGCAGTGGGACGTCCCCTCCCCCAGTGGGCAGCAGTGGGACCCCCTCCCCCAGTGGGCAGCAGTGGGACGCCCCCTCCCCCAGTGGGCAGCAGTGGGACGCCCCCTCCCCCAGTGGGCAGCAGTGGGACGCCCCCTTCCCCGTGGGCACCAGCAGTGGAGTGTTGGGAGCCCACGTGCAGAGTAGGGGGCAGTCCTGTCAGGGCGGAGCTGGGCAGCGGGTATGTGGTGTGGCTGAGACCCGGGCTGTGCTGAGCCACAGGCCGCCAGCTGTGCCAGGGATGAGTGAGTCCTGGTTCCTGGGGCCCAGGCTGCAGCCCCGGACTCCAGCAAATGTCAATCAGACAACTTTGAAGTACCTGAGAGGGATTTTCACTGGCTTTTGAGTCTCCCCTGGTGCTGACATGCTGGCATGCAGTGGGAAGAGAAAGGGGAGGGGAAGAAGGAAGGGGGAGGAGGGAACTTGGCATGGAGTCCTCATTCTCTACCTTCTCACTCCATTCCGAGTGGACAATCTGAGAGCCAGGATGACATCTTCCACTGGCCCCATCTGGTAAAGCACAGCAGCTTCACGGAGGCTGACCTTCAGTAGGACAGTCAAGTCACAGGTGAAGAGCAGGCACACTCAAGGAAGGAAGCCAGGCCCAGCTTCCCTGTCCACCTAGTTAATAGCCCTGGGAGAGGGACCTTGGCCTAGTCTTCCTCCTGAGCTCTGGGAGAGTGCTCCCTTGCCTGATGCCAGCTCCATCTCAATCCCTGGAGATGCCCGAGCCTCCTGAACCTTGGCCGCCCACCACCAGCTTGGTAACTATGGCGTCCCAATTGAGCACTTTGATGAGGGAGATTTTGGGGCGGCCCAGTCAGCTGGCTGCAACCTGGGGAGACGGATGAAGGGGGATTGTGTGGAGCATCCCTGTAAGCGCTCTCTATCCAAGAGATAAAAGCCTCACTGCAAAACACGCATGGCACCAGAATAGCTGGAGAAGGCATGGACTCAGGAAGGTTGTTTTGACTAAAAGCTTCTCCATGTTCTCTGGAAGGTGGAAGGGTGGTTAGCTCAACAGAGAGCCCCATCTCCTGGGCGCACACACCAAGCTGAACCCACTGCTCTGGTTTCCAAAACTGCTGCATTTTTGAGTGTCTGGAATTTAACAAAAGGGAAGTTCAGCTCAGAGCTGCTTTCTTTCTAGCCCTGGGTCTGTGTCTGGGGCCACAATGAGCTGGGCAATGGTGCACACGCAGCCTGTGTCCAGAACCCAGAGTGGCCTCCTGTGGGGAGTCTGGGGCTCCGGTGAGCAGCCTGGCCATGTGAACGGTCTGTGACAGGACACGCGGGCAGTGTGCGCCATCCGTGAGGCCACCTGTGTCATGCACTGTGTCACCTGTGTGCTGTCTGTGTCCTCGGCACTGCTGTGTGTGCTCACAGTGCGGATGGCCTTCGTGGCTGTTGGTCAAACACTGCTGACTGGATTCACCTCCCCGAGGTGACGTTGTGCATGTCTTGTGGGGGCATTTCCGTGCGCACCCCTAGCTGCACTTACCTCAGGTCCTGCTGCTAGCCATGCCCTCTGATCACACAGCATCCTGCAGCCTGTGCACGCTTGCTTGGGGGTGGCGGGCTGCTCCTGTCCGACTGCTGTCACCCCTAGCAGCAGGGTTCACGCTGCTTGTCCCCGGGTCACAACCTCGCATGTCGTGCTGGGGCTCACCTGTGTTGTGCGGCGTCTGCATACTACTCCGTGTGTAACCGGCTCAGCGTGGTGACACTGCAGCTGTCACCTGCTTGTTCTTACAGTCATGAGAGAGCCGAGCTGTGGAGAATAAGGAGAGGTGGGGAGCGGGAAGTGGGGAGCCGGAAGTGAGGGGCCGGACGTGAGCCTGAGCTTTTGCTCTACGGGAGAAGCCGCAGCCGGCAGCGCCCCCAAGGCTCGCGACGGCAGAGCCGGGGTGTCGCAGTCCAGACTGCTCGGGTCGGCTCGGGTCCCTGGGGTCCCTCGGACTCCCGTGGACAGGCCGGAAGCTGCCTCGAGTCCGCTCCACGGAACAGACAGGGAGGGCTCGGCTCCAGGGCCTGCAGACCGCGGGGCGGGCCCGCTTCAGACGGGGCCAGAGCGCCGTGGACGCCTCAGATCCGAGCTCAGCGGCCGGCCCGGCTCCACCTCCCGG